ACTTAGTAAAATTGCAAAAAATTCCACAGCAAATATGTAATTAAAAATCATGAAGTTAATAATCTTTTGTAGGTTATGTTTGATTTTTTTTGTTTTTAAATTTGTTCCTATCTGTGTAATTTACAGAAATTTGAATCACATTCAAACAGTAATTTAAATTAATTTTATAAAATCTTAAAATATTGAGGTGAAGAAATGTTTTTAGGTTATGTGCCAGTTTTTTATTGATGCTCTTTTTAAATTTGTTCCGATTTGTAGAATTTACAGAAATTTGAATCATATTTAAACTGCAGTTCTAATTTATTTGACAATAGATCAAAATATTGAGGTGAAGGATTTTTTTTAGGTTATGTGCAATTTTTTTTTTGTTCTCGTCTTTAAATTTGTTCCAATCTGTAGAATTCAGAGAAACTTGAATCATATTTAAACCCTAATTCTAATTAATTTTATTACATCTCAAAGTATTGAGGTGAAGGTTTTTTTTAGGTTATGTTATATTTTTTTTAACTGATCTTTTTAAATATGTTCCAATCTGTACAGGAAACAATAGTTCAAAATTAATTTTTTAAATGTTTCTAAATAATTTCAATTACCTTAGTAATTTGTGAAGTGAATAAATTTTTTTAGGTTATGTTCAGTATTTTTTGCGTACTACTAATTTTATTCCAATTTGAAGAATTTTAATAAATTTAAATAGTTTTAATCTCCTTTAATTCTATTAATAGATATATTCTATTAATAAATAAATTTACTTGTCAAGTAATTTATAATTTAAAATATTTTTATATTATTTCAAGGCTATTAATATGTAAATTGTTCGACAAAAAATGTCGAAATATCTCGTTCATTTCTTAATAAACTAATTGAATAAAAATAAGAATGTACTGCTTTTGTTAAAATATTCGCGAAAAAGAAAAAAAAAAGTAAAATAAACCTTATCTCATTAAAATGATGTATAAATATATTTTTAAAATACTTGACGGAAAGTCGTTTATCGAAATGCTAAGTCAATGTTTTTTTTTCAATAAAATTGTATAAACTTTTCAAATTTATCAATAATTTATACATTTGTTTTTGTATTTTCGATTACGGTTGTGTATTTATTTTAGTTTTCTATTTAGTGTGTTTATTTTATTTATTTGAAATTTTTGTGAAATAATTGTATAACCTAAGTTTTCTTTTTTAAAAAAAACTTTAACTTTTTAAAAAAAATTTCTTTCCTTATTTCTTCGTAAATAATAATTCTCACTTAAATGTTAATATATGGAAATTTTTATTTAAAACACATATTTTATTTTACATTTTTTTCTGAAAATTTTTCTTTTTTTTGTGATTTTTCTAGATAAAGTTTTAATAGCACTTGTTTTATGACTGCTAATAAAAATAACCATAACCTATTTTTTCTAATCAATAACTAAAAATTATGAATCATAATTTTCTTGACAGTCAATATGAAAAAAGTATAGGATTTTTTTTTTCTAATTGCGTCTCTAAGCAACGAAAAAAATGTAAAAAAGGTAAAATAAATTTATAAATTTAATTTTCAATTTTTTTTTCAATTCTAATTTTATTTAGAAATTAATTTACAAAAAAAATTGTTCACTTGGAAAAATTATGAATAGCTTGGAGAAATCGGTTTTGTTCAATTTTTAAGAAAGTTATTGTCTCTCAAAGTTTTGAGGTGGGCAAAATTTTGTAAACTTGAGAATTGGATAATTGTTATCGTTTAATGATTTTTTTTTGTTATAATTTTATTCGAAATTGAATATAATGGAAAAATTTGTTCACTTGGAAAAATTACAAATAATTTGGAAAAATGAGTTTTTTTTAATTTTTAAAAAAGTTATTGCCTCCCAAAGTTCTGAGGTGGACGAAATTTTCAGTTTTGAGACATTTTAATAATACTTTGTAAACTAAAATTTTATTTCCTTCTGGGAATAAATAATATTAAAATAATAAAATTTAAAATATAAAATTATTTAATGTACAATATTATTTAATTTTAATCGAATTTTTTGACTTGAAGAAAAGCCTTTATTTTGGTTCCGCCATTTTGAATTTCATAAAGTTTTGTACTCGTTGACTAAAAATTATTATTATTGATGAATGACTAATTTAAATTTTATATTAGGTTAAAAAAATAAGAAGCACCTTTTTGGAGAGAGAGAGAGAGAGAGAGAGAAAAAAAAGAGAAAGAGAGAGAATTTTATTGATAGATAGAGCTCAGTTTAACCAGTTGCATTTTACGATAGTCGAGGTCGTCAAAGGCGCCAAAGAAACAGCTGCCAGTCTTTCGACCGTACCGCTTCGTTAGAACACTTTTATTCTTTCGGTGCCTTATCTTAGTTCGACGTAAAACCTCGTGTCGACTATTTCACTTTTCTACCATATTGCAAATAAATTCACCATTATTTATTTCGTGAAAAATAAGAAAAAAATAAAGAAAAGTAAACAAAAAAAAAAATTGCAAATAATGAATAATTTGTTAAATTGTTCCTTTTTAAGCAAATGATGAAAAATATATTATTGGACCTCGTTTATATATTTATAAATAATTAAATAACAAATTAACTATTTTAGAATTATTAATAAAATTACTAAAATTACTAAAATTTACTAAAACACTCAGTATTTTTTTTTAATTATTTAACAACACTTTATTGTTGCCATAAGTTTAATAACATTATTTTTTACAAGAATTATTTTTTTTTTGAATAAAACGTTCAAGAAAACTGTTTTAATAATAAAAACTCGTTTCTGTGTTTATCAAAAGTTATGATAAAGTTTTAATAGCAATTGGATATAGCAGTAAACATGAAAGTTCATGGAGTGCGTTCTACTGTAGAAAAACGTGAGTTTTTTTTGGCGTTAATTGAAATTTTTAGGTTTTTTTTTATTGTCTATATTGAAAATTCACTTGAGAATATTTTTCTTTTCAAATTTATCGACACTACTTTTATTTTAATTAGCGATTTAAAATTAAATTTTTATCTAGCTGAATTTTCAATTTAACTGTTAAAATATTTTAATTTTTATATTTAGGAAATTTTTGTTTTGGAAAATTTTTCTTTTGTACATAGAATTGGAAATTTATTGTTGTTGATTGTGTTAAAGTAGAATAATTTTTTATTTATTTGCGTAAATTTTCATTTGTTTTCAAACTCGGGTAAAAAATCGAGTTTCCCCTCTAGACACTGTCGGTAATGTAGTTTGCGCGCGAAAATTTAAATCGTGGAAATTTAATTTTCTATTTTATTCATAAAAAAATAAATTATTTAACTTTATTGTTTATGATTTTCTACTTTTTTGACTAAATATTCGGTTGGATGAGTTTTATAAATTAATAAAAAAATTTTAAATAAAATTTATGCTTTCGAAATATTTGGTTAATTAAATTTAATAAAAATTCCGGATATTTCAAATTTTTATTATAATATATTTATATTATTATTATTATTATTATTATTATTAGTATTAGTATTATTATTATTATATTTATTGGCTAATTTTTTTTTTTTTTTTTTTTTTTTTTTTTTAAGTTATAAAAATTGTATTCTTTATAAATTTGGTTGAGTTAAAAATTTAAATGAGTCTTGATAGAAAATTGAGTTAAATGAAAAATTTAAATTCTACTTTATAAGAATTTAATTTTATGAAATTCGATTTAATTAAAAAATTTATTATCATGAAATTTAAGTTTTCTGTATATATGAAAAGTGAATATTTTTCCACGATACGATTTAGTTTAAACATGCGGCATTTTAAATGATTTCGTCACTGTTCTTGGCACATTCTAACGTATATTATATGAATATACATAATTCTTATCGGTGCGTAGGAACAAATAAAATCGACTAAACAAAACACGCGTACCTCTTAAAATACACCACGTCTAGGCTCATCTATTTTTTTGTTTATTGTTAGCAGTAAATTATTTAGATTTTTATATAGGTTTGAAATTGAAAAAAAAATGTTAATTTGTTCGGTTTAAATTACATTTTTTTTTTTATTTAAACTGATCAATTTTAATGTTTACTCTGAGTTGTTGATTTTTTTTCAAAGGGAAATGAAGAAACAAAAATGTAAAAATAATTCTTTTTATCTAATCTGAAAAGAATTATAGACAGGAGACTTTTTTTTTTTTTTTTTTTTTTTTTTTTGAGTGTTTGTAAAGAAAATATATTGATTTACTTTATTGGAAGAATATTTGAAAATTTTATATTAGTAAAAATTTAAATTATTAAAAAAAAATATTTATTAATTTAAACATATCTACTATTTTTGTAATATAATAATAAAGTTGATTAAATACAAAAATATTTCCTTCTATTGCTTTTTGTTTTGTATTTAAAGAAAAGTAAAAGAAATATTAATTTTGAATGGAAGAGGTAAAAATTTATTCTTATGTTATAATTTTAAAAAAAAATAAATAAAAGGTTTGTTAGATTAAATTGTGTAATTTTAATTGATTATGTAATTAAGTGTTGCTACGTGACACTCATCCCGTCGAGGGATTCCCCTTGGCTGACACACACGACAGTCTTTCTGAATAGTACATTCACCTAATTTTTTTTATCGAATTTTTTGGATTCAATTTTATATCAAATTTCATTCATAAATAATATAAAATTCATAAAATTTAAATATTAAATAATATTTATAATAATTTGTTATGAAATTTTAAAAATATTTTATATTTTGTACCACTTTTTTTTTGTGTAAAATGCAACTTTTTTCGATTTTTATATTATTATTTATTTATTTATTTATTTAAAATATAATTACATTTTCGAAATATATAATTAAAAAGTTTTTAAATAATTGAGATAAATGTATTAATTTTATTGTTGAATCTGAATAAAATAAACGACTTTTTCGATTTTTTTTGTACTTTTAATCGACATTCTTTCCTCCTAAATTTGATAATTAAAAATTAGAATTTAATAAGAATTAAAAACACTAAATAAAAATTAATTTTTGGTTTTTTTTTTTCGTTTTAGAAAATGGAGTCGCACCAGTGGTTCAACCGACGATTGTCAGAGCTCCGAAGGACAGGAGAAAAATAAATCAGAAGGTACGCATATTGTCGCAAAACCCTCCACTAGAAACTAACGGCTACTTTAGAAATAAGACACCGGAAAATAGTTGAAACCGACGCGCATTTCTTTACAAAAACCAATCGATATGTTTTGCTTCTTAAAAAATTCTACTCTCTCTCTATCTTTCTCAAAAAAAAAAAAATTAAAATAGATTTTTTGTAACCTTCTTTTTTTCTATATAAATTAAGTACTTCATATAATTCAGTCTTTACTTTTTTATTAAAAAAAAATTACGTTGCATTTTTTTTTTTTTTTTTTTATTTTTTTTTTTAAATGTTAAAACACAATATTACAAATTTAGTATAATTTAATAAGAGCATATTTAGCAATAAAAATTTAATAAAATAATTTAATAGTTTCATCAGATTCGTCAAAGAAAAAGAACTTATTTCATTATTTTTGAGGGAAAAAAAATGTTTATTTGCTTCCTTTTTTTTTATATTTCCTAGTTATTAAACTTTATGCATTTAATTTAAGTATTAAATATTATATATTTTTTCTTGTTATAAAAAAATTATATAACAAAAAAAATTTCTTAAGCACAATTTTTTTTTTTATCTTTACTGACAATGTTTTGATGAATTTTCATATTGTGCAAAAATAATTTAAGAAGGATTCGCTGACACCATTAGGACTTTTGTTAAAAGTTCGATGAATGGAGTTTGAAAGTAGACCTTCTTACAAAAAAAAAAATTAACCTTTCTTTTTTTTTAAAAAAAAAAGAAAAAATGAAAAATTGTAAAGTGTTAAAATGATCAAAATAAATAGACAATTATGAGTGTGACTAAAACTAAAGGAAATTTAACGTAACAATTTGGTGTAAATTATTACCCCTATAAAATATGGGGTAAATATGAAAGAAATCGGGGTAAATTTTGAACATGCAAATTATTTAAAATATTTTGATGATAAATAACAAATTTTTTTATATATAATAGTAAGGTACATACAAGGTACATACATACTTACATTAGGTAAGTTTTATTTTTTTATTTTAAAATCAAGAGTACTATCATTATCGCATTAAAAATTCTAGAGATTATTAAACAATGACATTTTGTAGTAAAATGAAATTTTAAATTTAGAAAAATAATTTATTTTATCTTATTTTATTTATTTTCTACTTCTTTTTATTCACATTTCAAAAAAATATAACATTTAATATAACATTTCAAAAATTCTGATTAGAATTCATAAATTTTTAAAGTTTGGTTTCATAAAATATTTGTAAGAACAGGGTTGCCACTGGTCAGGAAAAGTCAGGAAATTTTATCAAAAGTACTGGTAAAATATCAATTTTTTTTTTAATTTCTACAAAAATTCTAGTTTATGATGTCGAAAAAAATTTTTTAAAATACTCAAAAACCTTGAATACTCTATGAATTTTTTTTTTCAAATTTTACACTTTTATTAATCACAATGAATTTTAAAACAATACTTTGATTTTTTTTATTTTGTTCAAATAAACGAAATATATTTTATTAAAAATATTGTCATAAATTACTGATTGCAATTGAAATTAAATACTTAAATTTAACATTTATGAAACTTAATAATTAATTTTATTTAATTAATTATAATTATTAATATTATAATAATTAACTTTAAAGAGATTTTAATTAAAAGATTAAAACAATATTGAAATTTCCATAAATAATAAAATTTCAAAAGGTTTTAAACAAAATTTTTTGAAAATTTCAATTTTTCTGAAGAAAATAATACTAATTAAATATTTATTTAAAAAATCATTTAAGTTCTAAATAATTTTATTCAAAATTCTGAAGAGAATGATCAAATTAATTTAAATTTTGTGAAATCGAATTAAAAATAATAATATTTAATTTGTAAATAAAAAATTTTTTAGAGATTTTTGAAAAGATAGAATTTTCAAGAATTTTTTATTTCATAATTTGATAAATAATGGAATTTTTCAAAAAATATTTTTAAAAATATTTCGGTTCTTTTTTTATTAAATAATTGAATTTTTATAAACAAATAATTGAAAATGTTTAAAAATAATTGAAACTTTTTCTAAAAATAATTGAATGTTTTAAAAAAATTTATTAAAATCTTTAAAAATAATCGAGGGATGTTTGTCTTTTTCATAATGGTACAATTTTTTTGTTAGAGACAATTGAATTTTTATAAACAAATTATTTAAATTTTTGAAATAATTGAAATTTTCTAAAGTTCTTTTAAAAGTAATTGGATTTTTTAAAGAATTTTTTTGAAATTCATGAAAATAATCAAGAGAAGTTTGACCCATTAATTTTTTTTTTAATATTCCGGTTTTATTTTTTAAAAATAATTGAATTTTTATAATAATGTAATTGAAATTTTTTACAATAATGGAAATTTCCGAAAATTCCATTAAAAATAATTAAATTTTTTAATGATGAATATTATTAAAAATTCTTGAAAATATAATCGAGTTTGACAAAATGATTTTTTAAAATAGTTCAATTGTTTAATGATAATTGAATTTTTATGATCAAGTAATTAAAATTTTTAAAATAATTAAAAAATTTTATACCTCTTTTAAAAGTAATTGAAATTTCAAAAAAATCTTATTGAAATTTTTTAAAATAATGGAAATTTCCGAAAATTCTTTTTTAAAATAATTGAATTTTTTAATGAATTTAATTGAAAATTCATGAAAATATTTCAATTCTATTTTTTTAAAGATAATTGAATTTTTAAGATCAAGCAATTAAAATTTTTGAAATAATTGAAAATTTCTATACCTCTTTTAAAAGTAATTAAATTTTAAAAAAAATCTTATTGAAATTTTTTAAAATAATGGAATTTTTTCGAAAATTCTTTTTTTAATTGAATTTTTTGATGAATTTTATTGAAAATTCTTGAAAATATTTCAATTCTTTTTTTTTTAAAGATAATTAAATTTTTATGATCAAGTAATTAAAATTTTTTAAATAATTGAAAATTTTTATACCTCTTCTAAAAGTAATTGAATTTTTCAAAAAATCTTATTGAAATTTTTGAAAATAATCATGTTTTATATTAGTTTTTTTTAAAAAGTTTTCTGTTTTATTTTTTAAAGATAATTGAATTTATTTTCAAGAAAATATTAAAATTTCCAAAATTCTATTAAGAAGAATTGAATTTTTTAATAAATTTTATTGAAATTTATGAAACTATAATTAAATCAAAGGAAGGTTTCCTCATTGATTTTTAAAAAATGATTCAATTACATTTTTTAAAGATATTTTAATATTTATAAACAAGTAATTGAAATAATTGAAATTTTCTAAAATTCTATTGAAAAATAATCGAGAGAAGTTTGCGACATTGAATTTTAAAAAATATTTCGGTTCTATTATTTTAAGATAATTAAATTTTGTATAAACGAATAATTTTAATTTTTTAAAAAATTTTATTTGAACTTCTTTTTATCAAAATTTTGCTTAAAAATCAGGAAAACTCAGGGAAGAAAATTGAATTTTCGTGGCAACCCTAAAGAATTTCAAAACATAACAGAAAGTTTTTAGAATTTATTTGACGTGGAGATTTAAAAAATTTTTTTTTTTTGCGGAAATAAATAAATTTGTTATAATTTGAAATTCATAAAAAAGATAATAATTTTTTTTTTTGTTTTTACAATTTTATTGCTAAATCGTATTGAACTGATAATTTTTTCTTTTGTCTTTCATAGGCAAGTGACTTTTCTGATATTTGTGACTGGCCTTCATTAGGAGCTCAGGGAGAAGTGAGTGAATTAAAATTTTCTTTAAATTCATCGTTTTGTTACTTTTTCCTTTTATTTGTCGTTATTTTTTGCAAAAACTAGAGCCCGCAGAAAAATTTATTTCACAAATCTGTGGGTGTAGAATTTTTGCTAAATTAATCGAAAAGGAAACGTCTTATTTACAATGGAAACAATTTTATTTTGTTTTCAAAGATTCATAGGCGTTTCTACATTTTCATTAAATTTTATATTATTCATTTTTATTCATAAATTTTGTATTATCTATTTATTTTAATATTATTTTTTTATTTATTTATTTGAATAACAAAACGGAATATTATTAGTTTTATTAATTATTAATAGAATTAATAAATTTGAGGCTTCATAAATTTTTATTATAAACTTAAGAAGAAAATTTTTTTATTCTGAATTTATTTTTCCTTATTATGCAATTTATTAATAGAAAATATTTATTTATTAATCAATTGTTATTATTTATCATTATAAATAAAGCAATATTTATCATTCATGTATCTTTAAATAATTTTTTTTCCCTGTTTATTTATTAAAACTTTATTTTCTAATTTTTCCCTTTTTGCTGAACTTGTGTTGAATATTTTTTTTTCGTTTTTTTTTAATTTAGAAAAAGTTTACACTTTTTCTAAATTAAAATTTAAAAAAAAAGATTTTTGTGATTTGATTTTTATAATTTAATTTTTATAATTTAATTTTTTTATTTATTTAATATACAAATTTAAAAAAAAATAATTTCGAATGAAAAATAATGTTGAAATTTCTCTTATTTAGAAGAAACCAGTTGTGTCAACGCCAAAACAAAATGGTATCGAGCAAAATAATTCTAAGGAGAATCATGCAAACACAACTGACAACAAAGGCAAGGAAAATAAGGAGCAAAATCATTGCCAGGATGACAGTGATGAACACACCGACGTCAATGATAAGAGAAAAAAAGGTAAGCAAAGAAAAGTTTTTTTTTTATTTTTCTTTCCATTTTGTTTACAAAAATTTGTTTTTTTTTCCTTCACTGAGTTAACGTTGGAAAATTTTATTTCACAAATTTCAAATTGACATACAAAGCTGAAATTAAAAAGACAAGATAAAAAATTTACCCTTTATTTTTATAACAAAATAAATTATTTCTATTACCATTAACAATTGGAGAAAAAAGAAAAATAATTTTAATTTAACAATTTAATTTAAATTTTTATTTAAAAAAAATAAGGAAATTAAGAAAATATGAATAGAAAGAAAAATTAAATGAAAATAAATAAGAAAAATAAAAAAATTTTAATAAGATAATAAATAATGAAAAATTTATTTTATTTCTTTATTTATTATTAAGAAAACAAATTTTTTTTAAATTTAATTTTTTGTATATTCATTTACAGTGGAAAATATTTTTTAAAAAATACAAAAAAGGAGTAAATTTACTACCTATAAATTATAAAAGACAAATAAAAAACAAAAGATTGTTGAGTTGGAAAAAATGAATTTTAATTTTTAATTTTGACGTGTTTTGCGATTTCAGTCAATAAACAAAAATGGGTCCCTCTGGAAATCGATCTGGCGAAAAATAGAAACAAGAGAGTGCGATCTCCAAAATTTCGCAGCCAAAGAGATAAAACTGGTGAGTTTATTTTCGTTCCTTCACATTTTTCTTTCAGTGAAAATATCTGTTTTTTTTTATTTTATTTTCTTTTTGTTTCATAATAAATATTTCAAAATTAATTCAATTTTAAAGTTGCGTTTACAATTTTCATAAATAGATGAACTTCAAAAAGGTTTTCGTTTGAAATTTTGTAAAATTTCAATTTTGAATGAATTTAATTAGAAATCTTAAAGAACTTAAATTTTTGGACACTTTCTAATAATTCAAATTCTTCAGAAATTAGAGTTAAATTTTTTAATTAATAATTAAAAACAATGAATTTATAGAAGAATTTTTTATAGTTAAAACACTAACAAAATTTAATTTTTGAGCAGTTACAAATAATTGCAGAGAAATTCAATTATTTTCAAAAAATTTAATTAAAATTAAAATTGACAAAATTTCAATTATTTTCAATATCTATTTTAATCAAATTTTCCAAAATACTTCAATTATTTAAATAAAATTTTAATATAATTCTAACATTTAATTATTTTCATAAATAATAAAATTCTTTTTAGGAATTCAATTATTTTCATAAATAATAAAATTCTTTATGAGTTTTCAATTATTTTCATAAATAATAAAACTCATCGCAGAATTTCAATTATTTTTAATAACAATTTTAATGGATTTTCTCGAAAAATGTAATTATTCTTAAAAATTTTATTAAAATTCATGAAAGAAATTCAATTATTCATAAAAAGCTTTGGTATAATTTATTTATTAGAATTCTCAAAAGAATTAAATTATTTTCAAAAATTTTAATGAAATTCTTTGTAACAATTTAATTTTTTTTCAAAATAATTTTAATAAAATTCTTTGTAGAAATTTAATTGATTTCAATAAAATTTATCAAAATTCAATTATTTTCAATATCTTCTATTTCAATAAAATTTCACAAAAGTATTCAATTTAAAAAGAAATTTTAATAAAATTCGTCTCAAGAATTCAATTATCTTGATAAATAACAAAATTCTTCACAGAAATTCAATAGTTTTTAGGAATTTTAATAAAATTCTTTACAAAATTCAATTATTTTCAAAAGTTACAATATTCATCCCAAGAATTCAATTATTTTCAAAAGTAATGAAATTCTTCGAAGAAATTTAATTATTTTTAAAAATTTTCACGAATATTTCGTCAAGAATTTAATTAATTAATTAATCAATTATTTTCAAAAATTTATAAAAATCTTTGCAAAAGTTCAATTACTTTCAAAAGTTTTTTTGCAATTTAATAATTTTCAATATTTACTATTTTCATAAAATTTATCAACAGATTTAATTGTAGAAAAAACTTTTTGATACAATTCTACGAAAAGATTCAATTATTTTCATAAATAATAAAATTTCATTTACGAATTCAATTATTTTCATCGGAGAATTTCAAATATTTTTAATACAATTTTAAATAAATTCCTTGAAAAATGCAATTATTAAAAATTTTATTAAAACTTGAGGAAAGAATTCAACTTTAAGAAACATTCAATTATTCAATAAAACAATAAAATTTGTTTCAATAATTCAAATATTTTCATAAATAACATTTAATTCGTCGCAGAAAATAAATTATTTTCGTAATTTTGCAAAAGAATTCAATTAGTTTGATAAACAACAAAATCGCATAAATTCTTCCCATAAAATCAATTATTCTAAGGAATTTTAATAAAATTCTTTTCCAAAATTCAATTATTTTGCGATAAATATCAAAATTCATCGCAAGAATTCAATTCTTTTAAAAAGTAATGAAATACTTTGCAGAAGTTAAATTATTTTCCAAATTTTTTAAAAATTCTCGTTCGCAAATTTCAACTATTTTTCAAAACTTTCAGTGAAAATTATTTTTAAAAATTACATTATTTTTACGAACTTTTAAAGAAATTCTTTAAAAAATTTTAATTATTTACGAAAAGAAATAAAATTCTTTAAAAAAATTTTATTTTCTGTAAATAATTTTAATAAAATAATAAATTACATTTAATAATGAACACGATTGTTTTAGAAACTTAAAAGAAATTCTTCATAAAATCCAATTACTTTCAAAATTGTCAATAAAAATTAAAAAAAAACATTTCTTTAAAAAAAATTCAAATAAATTTTGTAAAACAATTCAATTGTTTTAAAAAATTCTGATAAAATTCTTTGGAGGAATTAAATTATTTTCATAAATAATAAAATTCTTCTCAAAAATTAAATTATTGTCAAAATTTTTTTAAACATTCTTCTCAAGATGTCAATTATTTCCAAAATTTTTAATAAAATGCTTCTGATGAATTCAATTGTTTTCAAAATTTATTATTTAAATTCTTCTCAGGAATTCAATTATTTTTAAAAAATTTAATAAAATTCTTCAAAAAGTTTACAATTATTTTTAAAAATTGTTATAAAATTCTTTAATATATTTTATTAAAATTTTAATTAAATTCCTTAAAAGAAATAAAATATTTTCAAAGGTTGTTAATTAATACAATTCTTCGTAAAAATTAAATTTTAAGAAACATTCAATATTATTTATTTTTGTATTTAAATAATTTATTTCTCGTAGAATTAAATTTTTTATTTTTCGTACTTTTAACTAACAATTCTGTAGAATTAATTTTTTTGAAAAAGTTTAATTGAATAATAATTGATGTTATTGATTTAAAGTAGATTTTTAGTTAAAAATTCTAGAAAATTTTAATTGAATTGCAATGATACAAATAATTTTGATGAAATCACAGTAACACTATTTTTTTAATAATAAAATAATGATTTTGTCAGTCGGTCATATTTAATTATTATAAAACGTAAAGAAATAGATCATTTTGAGTCGAAGACTCGGAGTGATCCATTTCTTTATGTTTTATAATAATATTCTTATGAGTTGTTTAATTTGAAAAGGTTTGAATTTGAAATTTTTGAACATCTTAATTCCAATGAAAAAAAATATGATTAAATATTTACTTTAAATAAAACTATTGATGTTTTCGAATAATTTTACTTTTGAAGAAATTTGTAAATTAATTTAATAGAACATTTTTTTGAGTATCTAATAATTTTTAGAGTGAATCAGAATATTCTTTAGGATCAGGGAAAAAGTGAAAGTTTTTTCTGGAAATCAGGAAGAGTTAAGGTGAAATAAAATAAAATTTTTGTGGCAACCCTGAATTTTTTTTTAATTTCAATTGATAATATTTAAATATTTATTTTTGAAAATTGTCCAAAAGGTCATTTTTCATTTTTGTGAGCACGTTTATATTTACGAAATAAATAAACTTTTGAATAAATTTAGTTGAAAATTTTAGAATTCGAAAAAAGAATTTATGTGACAAATCTGAATAAAATAAACGACTTTTTCGACTTCTTTTATCCCTTAAAGCCGATTTGATACCTGGATTCGGGCCTGTAATGTGCCAATAAAATATTTTAACAATATTGAATATTAAAACTTTAATTTGATGGGGAATTTTTGTCTCCTAAGATCTTTTGTTCTTCTTTCAATGTTTATGTCCGTTTGCCTTAAATGGATATTTAATTACCTTCGAGTCTGAGGGCGATCTTAGACAATGAAGTGAAGACTCACTCTCCGATTGGTTACTTAATTTTTGGGGGAAGTGCTATAACTATAAAATATCTTCCTTTTTCGTCCAGGTACAAAATTTCTTTTACCTGCGTCACTTTGAATCTAGCCGTCTTGTAAGCAAGTTCAGAATTTTTCTTTCCGTATCGCGTTGTTCGTGAATAAATTTTAGTGAAAATGGTTTTATCAAAGAAAATTTGTTTTAATTTAGAAGAACGCAAAAGTGTATTAAAAAACATGCAAATTTCAACTCCATCTTTATGCATCTTTAAATTTCCTGTCGTTCAAAATGGCCAATTGTCGATTACGAATTTTGAGTTCGGATGATTCCCCAAATTTGTAAGTTGTAGGAGTTTTTAGGAATTAAAATTTCAGGTTTGTCACAAAAATAATACCTTTAATTGTAAAATTAAAAGCAAAAAAAAAAAAATTGTAATTTGTAAAATTCAATTCTTTTAAAATTATTTTTCTTCAAAAACACGAAATTTAAAAAAATGCAACATTCTTTAATTGACAAAATAATAATAAATGTACGCACAATTAAAATTCGAAAAAATCCACCGGAATTTTAATATTTCGATAGTGGAAAATGAAAATTGTGCAAAAATAAAATTTTATAGAGGGATTCGCTGACACCGTTAGAATTTTTCTTTAAAAAAAAATTCGATGAATGGAGTTTGAAAGTAGACCCTCTAACAAAAAAATACAAAGATATTTTTTTTAATATTCAAATGTAATTTTCCCCTCGGAGAATTAAATAAAATATTTAGAATTTATTAATAGAATATAATGAAATTTAAAAAATAATTGATTTGAACCTTTTTTTGAATTTGTCTTTTTATTTGTAATATAGAGGAAGAAAACTGGAGGGACAGAGATGAGAGATCAAACTACAATTACAGAGGAAGAGGAGGTCGAAGTTATCGTGGCCGTGGAAGAGGTCGTGGATCATCTCGTGGCGGTTACAGAAATCGAAATGAACAAGATTTTCCCGAATATCTCATCAATTACTCTCAGGCAAGTAAATAATTATTCTTGACACAAATTTTATTCCCTATCTATTTTTTTCGCTATTAACAAGAATTTTGATTTATTTTATTTCATCTCAAATGCCATTTTACCCCGTTTTTGGGGTATTTTAGTAAAAAGAATATTATTTAGGTGTTTTATTAATTAATTCTTTTTCATTTTAAAGCTGAAGAAAAGGCATTTTTAACCGTGACACGTGTTTTTTTTTTTGTTATAATTAAACATTAACGCAGAAAAATTGAAAAAAAGATTTTAAAAATTGTAAATTTTTAAGTAATTTTTCAACTCTGAATCGAATTATGAAATTTTTTGAACAGGATTTGTTAAAAATTCGCCGAGTTGCTAATTATTTTTTTATTAATTTTCATCAACTTTTTTCTGTTCTTTTAATAGCTCATTCAGAGTAAATTTTACTTTATTAAGTTTACTAATTCAAAAATTTCAAATCCATTTGTTTACAATATTTAATTTTACGAAATTTTAATTATTCGCAAATTCTTCAGTCAAATATATATTAGAAAATAAAAAATTCAAATAATTTAAAAAAAGAATTAATACTTTTCAAAAAAAATTAATTCTACAGAATTGTTTTATATTCAATTATTATCTATAAAATTTTAACTGAAAGTCATTTTTAAATCAATTTTAATTAGAGAATTCTACGAGAATTTAATGATTTAAATAGAAAAAAAAATAATTTATTGAATAATAATTGATCTTTAAAATTTTAATTTCATGACGAAATTTTATCAACAAATTTTTAAATAATTGAATTCTTTCTAGGAATTTTAATAAAATTTTTAAGAATAATTACATTTTTCAATGAATTTGATTAAAATTGTATTAAAAATAATTGAAATTCTTCAATGAGTTTTATTATTTATGAAAATAATTGAATGTTTGCGTAGAATTTTCATAACATTTGTTTTAATTAATTGAATTCTTTTGGAAAATTCTATTAAAATAGTAGAAATTAAAAATCATTGAATTGAAGAAAATTTTTGAAAATAATTGAAATTTTGTCAAGAATTTTATAAAAAAATTTCGAATTTCGGAGAATTGTATTATTTATAAAGATAATTTAAATTTGGACTAGAATATTGTCAACTTTTTGAATATAATTGAATTTCTGCGAACATTTGTAATTTCTCCAAAATTCAATTGTACGAAATTTCAATTATTCGGAAGTTCTTCAATTAAATATATATTATAAAATAAAAACACGAAATAATTTTTTAAAAAAAGTTCAATTTTTTTTTTTAAATTTATTCTACAGAATTGTTAGTTAAAAGTATGAAAAATTCAGATTTTCAAAGATTTTAATTTGAAACATTTTCAAAATTTAATTATTTCGAAAAATTCACGCTATAATTGCTTTTAATATTCAATTATTATCAAAAATTTTAACAAAAGATTCACTTTTTAAATTAATTTTTATTAGAAAATTCTAAGAGAATACAATTATTTCAATAGAAAGCTAAATAATTTATTGAATAATTAATTACTTCGTAAAATTGAATTCTCATAAAGAATTATATAAAAAAATTTTTAAATAATTGAATTCTTTCCACGAATTTTAATAAAATTTTTAATTACATTTTTCGAAAAATTTGATTAATATTCTATTAAAAATAATTGAAATTCTGAGATGAGTTTTATTACTTATAAAAATAATTAAATTCTTTAAAATACTTTTATTATTCATGAAAATAATAGAATAATTGCGAACAAATTTATAAAAAAAAATTATACAATAATAATTGAGATAATCTTTCTTGACGTGAAGTTTATGTTTTTTTCTAAATTGTTTTATAGTTTGAATTGTTGTCAAAAATTTGACAGTTAATTTGTAAATAATTATTTTATGAATTATTTATTTTTGTATTTAAATAATTTAATTCTCGTAGTTGAATTCTGATGGTAATAAATTAAAAAAAATTAGAGTTAAAATTTTAGAAAATAATTAAATATTTAAAGCATTACAACAGGAATTTTTTGAATTAATTAAATTTTAAAAGTTTTTTAAATTTAATTCTTTGAAAATTTAAGGGAAGTAAAAGTAAAAAAATATTAAAATTTTTATTTTAAAAGATTATTAATTAAATAATTACATTATTTTTCTTTAAAAATTCTTAAAGTTATTGGATAATTTTCAAAAATAATTCAATAACAAGAGGTTTTTGTCATTGAAATTATTTGAAATTTGAATTCCTGTGGAAAAATAAATAAGAAAAAGTTTTTAAATTTTTGTTTTAATAAAAAGTATTCAAGTTTTGGATAATTTAATATTAGAAATTTCGAATTAAATTTGTTCCTTGAAAATATTTAATTAAAATTTTTTTAAAATAATTGTACATCCGAAAATAATTTTAAAAAATTGAAACAATTGCAAATGTTGTCAAATTTCATTGAAATTGATTTTATATTTTAATGAATATTATTTGTTTACTTTTAAAAATTATTTTAAAATATATACCTACTTATTCGTATTTTTGAAGAATTATAATTTGAAAATTTGGAAAATAATTATTGAATTTTAAAAGAATTTAGAATTAAACTTATTACCACGAGTTGTTCAAATAATTCGTAATTTTGTTTTTAATTTAAAGAAAAATTGTTAGTAAAATTATATTTTTTAAAAAATGAAGAATTATCATTACATTTCAAAAAGAACATCTTTTAAAGGAAATAAAAATTTTAAAATTAAAAAAGTTAAATAAATAAATTGGAGCTGATAATTATATTTAAATTTGAAAAATTATTTAAAAATTTACAAATTTTTAAATCTTTTTTAAATCTTTTTTTTCAAATTTTCTGTGTTAATTTTTAATTATAACAAAAAAAAATACGTGTTACGGTTAAAAAGTCCTTTTCTTCAGCTTTGAAATGAAAAAAAAATTATTGAGTTTGGACCAAAAATGACAAAGTTACAAATTACTATTTATGCTTCAAAAAAAGATTTTTCAGCTCTAAAACAAAATTTTTGGGGTGTTTGAGTAATTTAATATATACAATTTTTTTTTCAAGACGAACAAGTTAGAATAAGTAATTTTACTTTTTAATTCTTTTTAACGCTCTGCAATTAAAAAGAACTAAAAATTTCATTTGAAAATGAAATAATGTTTGAAAAATTCTTGTTTTCTTTTTCTTTTTTTTTTGTTTCTAAAATGATGATTTCTTTTGGAAAAACCCGAGTGATCGCTGAAGGTTTTAGAAAGTAGAACTGATTATATTTTCCTATAGAATCAAGAAAAGAAAAAATGTTTAAAATTTATACTAATGTGAAAATTTGTTTTTTCTTTAATTTTAGACTCCGAAATATGGCCAAACGGATCCATTCATGATGCCTTATGTTGGAACATTTTATTTTAATAACGCCAATTATTTGGATCTTGACAACATCACATTGAAGGAATATATTAGAAAACAAATGTAAGATTTTTTTTTCAATTCTCTATACATATTACTTTTATAATTAATTTTGAATTATTTAATAAAAATATTTATTTTTTACGTTATGTAATATTTTTTTTTATTTTTTCTAGTTTCGTTTTTGTCGGTTTTTTTTTGTTTTTAATTCAATTTTTAGCTTATTTTATTTTTACTATTGTTTTTTTTTATCTGTTTCTTAAATTTAATTTTTGGATTATTTCATTTTTTATTTTCTTACTTTTTTGCCTCTTTTTAATTCAATTTTTGGTTTATTTTTTTATTTAATGTTTTTTTTGTTTTTTATTTTCATTTTTTAATTTCGTTGAATTTAACTTCTTGTTTACATTATTTTTTGTTTTTTTAATATTTTTTTTATTTATTTTTATTCATTACATTTCTTATCCTTTTCAATTCAATGTTTATTACTTATAAACTTATAACTTATAATAACTTATAACTTATAATTATTTCAATGTTTATTATTTTCGTTTTTATTTGCATTTTTCAATTTCATTTAATTTATATTTTTGTTTACTTTATTTCTTATTTTTATTTTATTGTTTTTTTTAAATTTTTGTTTAATGTTTTGTTTAGTTTGTTTATAATTTTTATTTTTTTTATTTCTTTTTATTTAATAAGGGTTTTTTTATTCTTAATCCGTGTAAATTAAAATAAATATTTTCCTTTTTATTTGTCAAAAATATCTTTAAAGGAGTAAATTTTAATTTAAAAATTATTAATCTTTTCAGAGAATATTACTTCAGTGAAGAGAATCTAATGAGAGATTTCTTCCTGAGAAGAAAAATGGACGCACAAGGATTTCTGCCAATCACTTTGATAGCATCTTTCCATAGAGTTCAGGCACTGACGACAGACGTCGCTTTGGTGATTGAATCAATTACCGAGTCTGATAAATTGGAAATGGTTGAAGGTTTTAAAGTAAGTTATTTTTTTCTGGTAAAATTCTCTTTTTTCTTTTTTTTTTTTTTTTTGATTTCGTTCATTGTTTCTTTAAAGTAAGAAAAAATTAAGGAATGAAAGACAAAAAAAAAATTTTTTTGTCTTTCATTCCTTAATTTTTTCTTACATTCTTACTTTCTTTTTTCTTTCATTCTTACTTTCTTTTTTTGCTTTCTTTAATTATTTTTTCCCTTTCTAATCTTCTATTCTTCACGCTTCATTTTTTACTTTCATTCATTCTTTCTTTTTTTTGTCTTTCATTCTTTCACTCTTCTCTTTTTTTCTTTCACTATTTATTGTTTTTTCTGCCTTTTATTCTTTATTTTTTTTATTTATTCATTCTTTCTTCTGTATGTTTTTATTTTTATTTTTTTATTCTTCTTTTTTCTTCGACCTTTATTATTTCCTTTTTTTTCTTTTATTAATTTATTTTTTCTTCTACGCATTTTTCTCATTCTTTTTTTCTGTCCTTTCTTTCTTATTTCTTATAATTATTCTTTCTTTTCTAGTTTTTCATTCTTTTTTTCTTTCATTGTTTCAGTTTTCCTTTTTTATTTCTTTCTTTTTTTTGACTTTAGCTTTTTACTTTCTTTTTGTTAATTCATTCTTTCTTTTTTTAAATTTTTTCTTTCTTTTATTTTCTATTAAATTTATTCATTCTGCCTTTCATTATTTCTCTCTTTTCTTGTTTTATTATTTACTTAACCTTTTATTATTTTTTTTCGTTTCTTTATTCTTATTTTTTCTGTTTCTTTTCTCTTTTCTTTCTGTTATTTATTAATTTATTTTTTCTTCTTTTTTTGTAGACAAAATATTAAGTATTTATTTATTTACAGCATTTACCGAAATAAAAGACCTTTTTTTTGTATTTATTATTGTAAAGCACAATATTATTTTGTCTTTATCTTGACTGCAATGTTTAGATGAATTTTCATATTGTGCAAAAATAATATAAGAAGGATTCGCTGACACCATTAGGACTTTTGTTAAATGTTCGATGAATGGAGTTTGAAAGTAGACCTTCTTACAAAAATATTACAATTTAGACTAAAAAAATTATCCTTTTTCATAAAAAAAAAATAATAAATCAGATACCTTATTATTTTTCTTTTCTTGTATTCATTACTCAAAGTGCTTTATGAATGAAATAAGGACTAAAAATTATCTTCGAAATTTAATTATTTTCAAATATTTTCTTCAATTCAATTTATTTCCAAATTTTCAATTAGAATTCTTCAAAAATATGATTATGTTTCAAAAAAATTTTTAAAAGTAAACAAATCAAATTCATTAAAATGTAAAATTTATTTCAATAAAATTTAACAAAATTTTCAAATTATTTCAATTTTTTAAAATTATTTCTAGAAGTACAATTATTTTTAAAAAATTTTAATTCCTCTTTTTCAAGAAACAAATTTTTTCGGAATTTGGTACTAAATTAAATTATTCAAAACTTCAATAGTTTTCCTTAAAGAAAAAGTTAAAATGTTATTCTTATTTATTTTTTCACAGGAATTTTTCACAGGATTTCCATCCCTTAAATTTTCAAAGAATTCAATTTAAAAATCTTTTAAAATTCCCATCAGAATTCAACTACGAGAATTGAATTATTTAAATAGAATAATTTTTTGTAAATTCATAAAATAATGTATTTTTAAAAATACAATTATATTTATAGATAATTTTTAAAGATGAAAAACTAAAATTCTTTGAAGTATAAAATTTATTTTAATAAAATTTTACTATAATTTTTTTTAAATTTCCAAATTAAATCTTTCAAAATTCAATTATTTTTTAGAATTTTTGAATAATATGATTCAAAACTTTTAATTTTTAAGAAAGGTAAGAAATTAATAATTTTTTATTTTGAGATTTTATTATACTTTTACAGCAATTAGAATTTCAAAGATTTCAATTTAAAATCTTTTTGAAATTTAATATTTTCTAAAAAATACTACTTTAATACTTCTAATTGTTTTCTGAAGTTTTAACTAAAATTCTTTTTTCAATCAATTCTTATCAGAATTCAACTACGAGAATTCAATTATTTAAATACAAAAATAAATAATTCATAAAGTAATTATTTACAAATTAATTGCAAATTTTTGACAACAATTCAAACTATAAAACAATTTGGAAAAAAACATAAATTTCACGTGAAGAAAGATCATCTCAATTATTATTGTATAATTTTTTTTTATAAATAAATAAATAAATAAATTGTTTTTTAGGAATTTAATTATTTTTATAAGTAATAAAACTCATCGCAGAATTTCAATTATTTTTAATAGAATATTAATCAAATTTTTCGAAAAATGTAATTGAAAATTTTATTAAAATTCGTGGAAAGAATTCAATTATTTAAAAATTTGTTTATAAAATTCTTTATGAGAATTCAATTTTACGAAGTAATTAATTATTCAATAAATTATTTAGTTTTCTATTGAAATAATTGTATTCTCTTAGAATTTTCTAATAAAAACTAATTTAAAAAGTGAATCTTTTGTTAAATTTTTTGATAATAATTGAATATTAAAAGCAATTATAGCGTGAATTTTTCGAAATAATTAAATTTTGAAAATGTTCCAAATTAAAATCTTTGAAAATCTGAATTTTTCATACTTTTAACTAACAATTCTGTAGAATAAATTTAAAAAAAAAATTTGAACTTTTTTTAAAAAATTATTTCGTGTTTTTATTTTCTAATATATATTTAATTGAAGAACTTCCGAATAATTGAAATTTCGTAAAATTGAATTTTGGAGAAATTACAAATGTTCGCAGAAATTCAATTATATTCAAAAAGTTAACATTATTCTCGTCAAAATTTAAATTATCTTTATAAATAATACAATTCTTCTCCGAAATTCGAAATTTTTTTATAAAATTCTTGACAAAATTTCAATTATTTTTAAAAATTTTCTTCAATTCAATGATTTTCAATTCCTACTATTTTAATAAAATTTTCCAAAAGAATTCAATAAATTAAAACAAATTTCAATAAAATTCTACGCAAATATTCAATTCTTTTTATAAATAATAAAACTCATTGAAGAATTTCAATTATTTTTAATACAATTTTAATCAAATTCATCGAAAAATGTAATTATTCTTAAAAATTTTATTAAAATTCCTCAAAAGAATTCAATTATTTAAAAATTTGTTGATAAAATTCTTCATGAAATTAAAATTTTAAAGATCAATTATTGTTCAATAAATTATTTTTTTCTATTTAAATCATTAAATTCTCGTAGAATTCTCTAATAAAAATTTATTTAAAAATTACTTTGAGTTAAAATTTTATAGATAATAATTGAATATAAAACAATTCTGTAGAATTAATTTTTTTTTAAAATTATTGATTTTTTTTTTTTTGAAATTATTTGAATTTTTTATTTTCTAATATATATTTGATTGAAGAATTGGTGAATAATTGAAATTTCGTAAAATTGAATTTTGTAAACAAATTAATTTGAAAATTGTCAAAAAACTTTTTGGAAAATTATTAAAAATAATCGATTTAAAGATGAATTTGAATTAAAACATGAAGAAATTGATTGCTCCAAGTCGAAGACTCGGAGTGATCGATTTCTTCATGTTTAATAACAATTTTTTTTTAAGTTGTTTAATTTCAAAAAGGTTTGAATTTAAAATTTTTGAAAGTCTTAATTTCTAAGAAAAAAAATGATTAAATATTTATTTAAAAAAGAAATTATTGATGGTTACGAATAAATGTACATTTAAAGAAATTCGTAAATAAATATATAAACAGAACATTTTTTTTTTGGGTATCTGATGATTTTTAGACTAAATCGAAATATTCTTTAGAGTCAAGGGAAAAGTCGAAATTTTGTCTATAAATCAGGGAAAAGTGAAGGAGAAATAAAATAAAATTTTTGTATCATGTGAAAATAATTTGAAAAATATGAAAAATAAAAGAATTATTCTTCTCTTGCAGGTGAGGACAATCATTGATCCTCTGAAATGGCCAATTTTAGATTCAGCGGGTAATCCAATATTCGCTGATTCCGCTGAAATGGCATCGCATCCACAAAATGAAATGAATAACGAAATAATGTTTCCTACGGTGCAATCGGAATTTTGTCCCGTTGCACAGCCATTAACGACAATACCAGCGCCACCAGTGCCCAAAGTTTATACTGTTATTGTGCCGGCCGAAGTTGTTGGTCGTCTCAGTGAATCGGAAAGTGTCTCATCATCAATTGGTGGCGATTGTTTAAATCCCGATGTGCCCGAATTTGTTCCCGTTATTCATGCGAAAATTGATGGACAACGTGAGACGGACAATGATAATTATGAGAGAATTGAGGAGGCGAAGAATAAAAAAGCAATTACCAATAAGGAGGCAGGCAAGTCGGAGAGAAAAGATGGAAAGTCGAAGAAACGCGATGAGAAACGTGAAAATCTACTGAATGGAAATAAGGATTCTGATGAAGTTTGGAAAGAGGTATTTTTATTAATTTTCCTCTTTATTTTATTTTTTAAACAATTTCTAATTAAATTTTTGTGTGGGAAAAAAATAGGTGAAGAGAAGGGTGAAACAGCCTTCGAAAGGCAAGTCAGAGGAAAAGGAAAAGAAGGAGAAGGCAGAACTAGAAGAATTGGATTTTCAGTTTGATGAGGAGCTCAACACTCCACCTCCAACTGGTCGTCACAATGCATTTTCCGAATGGTAAAATTTATTTCAAATTCCATTCATTTTTAAATATTAAAATAGGAATTTAAATTATTCTTGGTTATTTATAAAAATAAATAATTATTCAAGAAAATATTTGAATTGCAAAGGATTTTATAAAATTTTTACAAATAATTGAATTTTTGCCAAGAATTTATTTTAATTTTTTTAAAAAAATTTTTTTTAAAATAATTTTTATTGAAAATTTTGAAAGTAATTGAATTTTTTGAAAAATTTCTTTTAACTTTCTAAAATAATCATTTTTATTTTATTAAATTTTATTAAAATTATTGACAGAATTTTTGTAAATAATTACATTTTTTTGAAGAATTTCTTTAAATTTCGTAAAAATAATGTAATTTTGAAAAATAATTGAAGTTTACAAAGAATTTTATAAAAGAATTTTGAGAATAATTGAATGTTTTTTTTTTTGAGAAATTTAATTACAATTTATAAAAAAAATGGAATTTTTGCGAAGAATTTTACAATTTATAAAAATAATTCAATTATTTCGAAGAATTTTTATCAGAATTTTTGAAAATAATTAAATGTTATTGAAAGAATTTTATTAAACATTTGAAATAATTGAATTCAATCGAGAAATGTTATTAAAACGTATAAAAATAACGAACTTTTTTAAAGAATTTTAAAAAACTGTTAAAAATAATTGTAATATTTTAAAAAGTAATTGCATTCTTTCGAGAAATTTTATTAAAAAGTTGTATTAAAAATAATTTAATTCACGCGAAGAATTTTATTATTTATGAAAATAATTTAATTACTCTAAAGAATTTTATCAGAATTTTTGAAAATATTTTAATTTTGTAAAAAATTTTATTAAAATTTTTGAAAACAATTGAATTGTTTTAAAAAATTTATTTGAATTTTTTTTTAAAGAAATGTTTTTTTTATAATTTTTATTGACAATTTTGAAAGTAATTGGATTTTATGAAGAATTTCTTTTAAGTTTCTAAAATAATCGTGTTTAGTATTGAATGTAATAAATTATTTTATTAAAATTATTGACAGAAAATTAAATTTTTTTTATAGAATTTTATTTCTTTTCGTAAATAATTAAAATTTGTTGAAGAATTTCTTTAAAAGTTCGTAAAAATAATGTAATTTTTAAAAATAATTTTCACTGAAAGTTTTGAAAAATAGTTGAAATTTACAAACAATTTTTGAGAAGAATTTTACAACTTATAAAAATAATTCAATTGTTTCGAAAGAATTTGAACAGAATTTTTGAAAATAATTGAATGTTTTGAAAGAATTTTATTAAAAAAACGTATAAAAATAGTTAATTTTTCTTATCAGTTTTATAAAAACTGTTGAAAAAATTGTTAGATTTTTAAAAATAATTTCATTTCGAGAAATTTTATTAAAAGTTGTATATTAAAAATAATTTAATTCCTGCGAAGAATTTTATTTGTATTTATGAAAAGAATTTAATTTCTCGAAAGGATTTTATCAGAATTTTTGAAAATAATAACATTTTTTGAAAGAATTTTATTAAAAATTGTTGAATATAATTTGATTTCCTCCGAGGAATTTTACGTTTTATAAAAATAAATGAATTCTTCCAAAGAATTTATGAAGGTTTCAATTCAAAAGTTTTCTAAATTTCAATTAATATTTAATAGTTATTTTTAAATAAATGTCTAAGGAAATTAGTCAAATTTTGAATAAATTTAGTTAGAAATTCTAGAAATTCAAACTAAATAATTTCTTTCTTTTTTTTTTATTTTTCTTCACAATGCAAAACAAATAATGATGATTCTTTATATTTTGTCTTCTTTTCCCGACTGAGAAAAGAAAATTCACTGTGATGAGTAATTTTTGAATCTGAAAAATAATTTTTATCTCATTTTTCTTGAAATAAAACTCATTTTCTTGATCGATTTTAGTTTAAAGAGAAAAAAAAATTTTCTTTCTTATCAGGTCTGAGGACGATGACGATTGCGAACTTTCGGATGGTGACATTAATAAATTGTTGATTGTCACACAAACATCGGCAGCGATTTCGTCGCGAATTCCAAAACATGAGGGACACGATCGCACCGGCGATTGGACGACGCGAGTGAAAATGAGTCAAGAACTCGAGCAGGCAATAAACGATGGACTTTTCTATTACGAGGAGGACCTTTGGACCGAGGATGGAACGAGGGTAAATATTTTGTTTTTCACCGTGAAAAAAAAAGAAAAGAAAAATCACAATTAAAAATTATGTATTTAAAAATTAGTTTCAACTATTTAAAACAATGATGATTCTTTACAATTTTGTCTTCTTTTCCCGACTGAAACAGTGAGAATTGATGAGAAACTTTTAATCTGATTCCATGAGGAAAATTTTCAAATTTCAAATTTTATTTTTTTCAATATATGAATTTTTATTTTTGTATTAAAAAAAAATGTTTGTTTTCTTTTTCTATGAATATAGTATGGATCGTTGTCGTCAATTGGAAGCTACAAGACTGTGAATATTATCAGTCAGGAAGTTTTCGAAAAAATTGCCCCTAAAGCGCCACGCAAAGCGAATCCGGAAGTTCCTCCGCCTCCACCTTCAGTCGATGATGTCGAAGTGCAACAAGTCACCTTTGCACCTGTAATTATGATTTTCAATAATAATTTTTTCGGGAAAATATTTTTTGTTTCTTTGATAAATCAAAGTTGTAATTTTTAGAAAAAAAAATATCTACTTTTTAAAAAAGTTTCTAATTTTTTATGCAAAAAAAATCGTATTTCTTTGGATAAATTTTTTTAAATTTTTGTTAAAAGTATTTATCACTTAAATTTAACTTTGCAAAAAATTCTATTAAAATTAAAAAAATAATAAACAATAATTCACTTGATGAGTGAATTTCGAAGTTTATATTTGAAAATAAAAAATGTAATTAACGTAACATTTATTTGTCAATTTTTGACAGACGCCGATTGTTGAGGGACAGGAGAAGAGGGAGCGTAAAGGTGAGAAGGCAGGACGACGATCGGGTCGTGGAATTGTCAGCGGAAGAAGAGGAGCCGTTCCTCGATTCTTCGCTGTCGTTAAAGATGAACCTTCCTTTGATCCTCGAACTCCAAGGAAACGTAAAACTCGCCACAGCAATAATCCACCTGTCGAGCATCATGTCGGTTGGATTATGGACGTCAGGGAACACAGGCCTCGCACATATTCCACTGGGTACATTATTTACAATTTTATTTTACCTTATTCCTCCCCCTCCCTCTATTCCAGGCTTCACAGACTGTCCCCTATTTCCCTAAAAGTCCCCTTTTTTTTAATTTAAAACAATTTTTTTTTTAATTTTGTCTCAATAAAGTTTAGAAGATGGTTGTATTTTAAATTCTTATAATCTGCACAAACTTGTTATGAGATGCATTATTTTTAAAAGACTAAATTATTTTTCAAAATGTAATAATTGGTTCAATTTAATTTTGATTATGTAGATGTTCTTTAATTAGGATGTAAATGGATTAAAAACTTGTTTTTTCTTTATTTCATTCATGTGTTTAAAAAGACTCTTAGTTTAATAATTAAACTGAAAACAAAATTTTATGAAAATTAAAATTAACAAAACAAATTTTTGTAAAAATAAATATTTTCAATTTATATTTGAACCTTAAAGACTAGATGTAAATTCATATTTACCGTTATACTCCTTAATGTAGTACTAAAATTTCTTAAAGCACTAATTCTAATACAAAACCTTCAGAAAAATTTTCTATTTCTCACAAGAATGAATTTTTTAATATTATTTAATTATTAGAAAAGTTTTAATGCAATTATCTTGATAAATAACAAAATTCTTCACAGAAATTCAATAATTTTTGGGAATTTTAATAAAATTCTTTACAAAATTCAATTATTTTCAAAAGTTACAATACTGATCCCAAGAATTCAATTATTTTCAAAAGTAATGAAATTCTTCAAAGAAATTCAATTATTTAAAAAAATTTTCACGAATATCTCGTCAAGAATTCAATTATCTTTACAAATAGCAAAATTTTTCGCCAAAAATTCAATTATTTTCTAAAATTTATAAAAATCTTTGCAAAAGTTCAATTACTTTCAAAAGTTTTTTGCAATTCGATAATTTTCAATATTTACTATTTTCATAAAATTCATCAACAGATTTAATTATAGAATAAACTTTTTGATACAATTCTACGAAAAGATTCAGTTATTTTCATAAATAATAAAATTTCATTTACGAATTCAATTATTTTCATCGGAGAATTTCAAATATTTTTAATACAATTTTAAATAAATTTCTTGAAGAAAAATGCAATTTTTATTAAAAATTTTATTCAAACTTGAGGAAAGAATTCAATTTTAAGAAACATTCAATTATTCAATAAAATAATAAAATTCGTTGCAATAATTCAAATATTTGCATAAATAACATTTAATTCGTCGAAGAAAATCAATTATAAAAAAATTTTAAGTAATGTTGTAAAAGAATTCAATTAGCTTGATAAACAACAAAAACGCATAAATTCTTCCCATAAAATCAATTATTCTAAGGAATTTTAATAAAATTCTTTTCCAAAATTCAATTATTTTGCGATAAATTTGAAAATTCATCGCAAGAATTCAATTCTTTTGAAAAGTAATGAAATACTTTGCAAAAGTTAAATTATATTCAAAATTTTTTAAAAATTCTCGTTTGTAAATTTCAACTATTTTTCAAAACTTTCAGTGAAAATTATTTTTAAAAATTACATTATTTTTACAAACTTTTAAAGAAATTCTTCAGAAAATGTTAATTATTTACGAAAAGAAATAAAATTGTTTAAAAAAAATTTAATTTTCTGTCAATAATTTTAATAAAATAATTAATTACATTTAATAATAAACACGATTATTTTAGAAACTTAAAAGAAATTCTTCATAAAATCCAATTATTTTCAAAATTGTCAATAAAAATTATAAAAAAAACATTTCTTTTAAAAAAAATTCAAATAAATTTTTTAAAACAATTCAATTGTTTTCAAAAATTTTATTAAAATTTTTGCCAAAATTAAAATATTTTCAAAATTCTGATAAAATTTTTTGGAGTAATTAAATTATTTTCATAAATAATAAAATTCTTCGCAGGAATTAAATTATTTTTAATATACAACTTTTAATAAAATTTCTCGAAAGAATGCAATTATTTTTAAAAATCTAAAATTTTTTCAACAGTTTTTATAAAACTGATAAGAAAAATTAACTATTTTTATACGTTTTTTTAATAAAATTCTTTCAAAACATTCAATTATTTTCAAAAATTCTGTTCAAATTCTTTCGAAACAATTGAATTATTTTTATAAGTTGTAAAATTCTTCTCAAAAATTGTTTGTAAATTTCAACTATTTTTCAAAACTTTCAGTGAAAATTATTTTAAAAAATTACATTATTTTTACGAACTTTTAAAGAAATTCTTCAAAAAATTTTAATTATTTACGAAAAGAAATAAAATTCTATAAAAAAAATTTAATTTTCTGTCAATAATTTTAATAAAATAATTTATTACATTCAATACTAAACACGATTATTTTAGAAACTTAAAAGAAATTCTTCATAGAATCCAATTACTTTCAAAATTGTCAATAAAGATTATAAAAAAAACATTTCTTTTAAAAAAAAATTCAAATAAATTTTTTAAAACAATTCAATTATTTTCAAAAATTTTAATAAAATTTTTGCCAATAGTTAAAATATTTTCAAAAAATTCTGATAAAATTCTTTGGAATAATTAAATTATTTTCATAAATAATAAAATTCTTCGCGTGAATTAAATTATTTTTAATACAACTTTTTAATAAAATTTCTCGAAAGAATGCAATTACTTTTTAAAATATTACAATTATTTTCAACAGTTTTTATAAAATTCTTTAAAAAAGTTCGTTATTTTTATACGTTTTAATAACATTTCTCGATTGAATTCAATTATTTCAAATGTTTAATAAAATTCTTTCAAAAACATTTAATTATTTTCAAAAATTCTGATAAAAATTCTTCGAAATAATTGAATTATTTTTATAAATTGTAAAATTCTTCGCAAAAATTCAATTATTGACAAAAATTTTTTTGAAAATTCTTCTCAAGAAGTCAATTATTGACAAAATTTTTAATAAAATTCTTCTCATGAATTTGTTTTCAAAAATTATTATTTAAATTCTTCTCAGGAATTCAATTATTTTTAAAAAATTGAATAAAATTCTTCAAAAAGTTTTCAATTATTTTCAAAAATTGTTATAAAATTCTTTAATATAATAAATTTTATTAAAATTTTAATTAAATTCCTTAAAAGAAATGAAATATTTTCAAAGGTTGTTAATTAATACAATTCTTCGTAAAAATTAAATTTTAAGAAACATTCAATATTATTTATTTTTGTATTTAAATAATTTATTTCTCGTAGAATTAAATATTATTGTTTTTCGTACTTTTAACTAACAATTCTGTAGAATGAATTTTTTTGAAAAAGTTTAATTGAATAATAATTGATGTTATTGATTTAAAGTATAATTTTAGTTAAAAATTCTAGAAAATGTTAATTGAATTGAAATGATACAAATAATTTTGAAGAAATTACAGTAAAAATATTCTTATAATAATAAAATAATGATTTTGTCAGTCGGTCATTTTTAATTATTATAAAACATAAAGAAATGGATCACTCCGAGTCTTCGACTCGGATAAATAATAATATAATAATATTCTTATGAGCCGTTCAATTTGAAAGGTTTGAATTTGAAATTTTTGAACATTTTAATTCCAATGAAGAAAAAATGATTAAATATTTATTTTAACTAAAACTATTGATGTTTTCGAATAGTTTTACTTTTGAAGAAATTTGTAAAAAAATTTAATAGAACATTTTTTTGAGTATCTAATAATTTTGAGAGTGAATCATATAATATTCTTTAGGGTCAGGGAAAAAGTAAAAGTTTTGTTTGGAAATCAGGGAAAAGTCAGGGAAAAATAAAGTTAAATTTTTGTATGGCAACCCTGTATAAATAAATTATATTTTTATCTTTATTTAACCAATTTTTATGGTCCCCTAAAACTCCCCTATTTTTTAATTTTCAGTCCCCTATTTCCCCTAAAATACTTTTTAGGGGCACTGTGAAGCCTGCTGTTCATATTTTCTTGTATTTTTTAAAAAGTTTTTTAATTGATTTAATTTAATTAATTGTTTTGAATTGAAATTTTACAGAAGTAGCGCTGGAACGAGTCCAAACGAGGGATTTTTGGCCAGTAGCTATGGAAGTGCACCGCAATCGCTTCCAACATTTCATCATCCTAGTCATGCGTTACTCAAAGAAAATGGATTCACTCAACAAGTTTATCATAAATATCATTCACGTTGCTTAAAGGGTAAATTTTTAATTAAATATTTTATTTAAACTTAGAATTCTGTTCATTTTCCTTTTTGAATGATGATTAATTTATTTTTGTCTTCTTTTCCCGACTGAGAAAACTTGCTGATAAATTCATAATCTGATATTGTTATTATTAACAAATTTATATATTTCTTTTATTTATTTCAAAAGACTAATTAATTTTGTTTTTTTTTTAAATTGTATTTTTTTAGAGCGCAAGAGACTTGGAATTGGACAATCGCAGGAGATGAATACACTCTTTCGATTTTGGTCATTTTTCCTGAGGGAAAATTTCAATCGCACAATGTACGAGGAATTTAGAAGTTTGGCAAAGGAAGACGCGTGCGAGGGCTATCGCTATGGTCTCGAGTGCCTTTTCCGCTTCTACAGTTATGGTCTCGAGCGAAAATTCAGACCGCAACTCTACAAAGACTTTCAAACTGAAACCGTTACCGATTATGAAAACGGTTAGTGTTTATTATAATTAAAATCATAAATTATTTATTGAATTTTTTGCGAGTCCGTTTAAAAAACATTTAAATAAATTGATAATAGTGAATGATTTAAATGTTAATAATTTAATTTTCAAAATTTTAATTTTTAACTTTATTTAAAAACTAAGAATAAAAAAATTAATTTCAGTCATTCGATGCACTAAAATTGTTTAAATTTACTTTTACAGGACAATTGTATGGTCTTGAGAAATTCTGGGCGTTCATGAAATATTACAAACACGGGAAGGAACTTGATGTCGAGCAAAAACTTAAGGATCATCTTTCAAACTTCAACAGCATTGAGGACTTCAGAGTTGTTGAGGTTTGTCATTATTTTTTAATAACATTTACTTTTTATATTCAAATGGAGTGTTTTTTTAATTCCTAAAATATTAACTAATAGTAAAACTCCCCACCTGAAATAAGTCATTTTCGCTTATGGTGCTTATTGATTTCAGTTAAAATTTTAAATAATAATTGAATATTAAAAGCATTAGAGCGTAAATTTTTAGAAATAATTGATTTTTAAAAAGGTTTCAAATCAAAAAAATTTGACAATCTGAATTTTTCATATTTTTAAATAACAATTCTGTGGAATTAATGTTTTTGAGAAAGTTTAATTGCGGATTTTTTTGTTGAAATTATTTCATGTCTTTATTTTCTAATATATATTTAATTGAAGAATTTACGAATAATTGAAATTTTGTAAAATTGAATTGTATACAATTGAATTTGAAAATTCTCAAAGAACTTTTTCAAAAATTATTAAGTAGAAGAATTTTAGTTAAAAACACTAAAGAAAATTCTATTTTGAAAAAGTTACAAATTATTGCAAAAATTTGAATTATTTTCAAGATATATTCTTCGCAACAATTAAATATATTGTTCAAAAATAATAAAATTCTTCTTATGAATTCAATTATTATTTTCACAAATAATAAAACTCATCGCAGAATTTTAATTATTTTTAAATAATTATTTTTAATCATTTTTGTAAAATAAATATGTAAATACTTATTGTTCTTTATTTGCTAAAAATTTCGAAATACTTTCAATGTAAAATCATTTGACAAATTTTTTTATGAAAATTTGATCTGCAAGTCTTGCAAAATTCAATTATTTTTTAGAATTTTTGAATAATATGATTCAAAACTTTTAATTTTTAAGGAAGGTAAGAAATTAATAATTTTTTATTTTGAGATTTTATTATACTTTTACAGCAATTAGAATTCAACTACGAGAATTCAATTATTTAAATACAAAAATAAATAATTCATAAAATAATTATTTACAAATTAACTGTCAAATTTTTGACAATAATTCAAACTATAAAACAATTTAGAAAAAAACATAAACTTCACGTGAAGAAAGATCATCTCAATTATTATTGTATAATTTTTTTTTATAAATAAATAAATAAATAAATTGTTTTTTAGGAATTTAATTATTTTTATAAGTAATAAAACTCATCGCAGAATTTCAATTATTTTTAATAGAATATTAATCAAATTTTTCGATAAATGTAATTAAAAATTTTATTAAAATTCGTGGAAAGAATTCAATTATTTAAAAATTTGTTTATAAAATTCTTTATGAGAATTCAATTTTAAGAAGTAATTAATTATTCAATAAATTATTTAGTTTTCTATTGAAATAATTGTATTCTCTTAGAATTTTCTAATAAAAATTAATTTAAAAATGAATCTTTTGTTAAAATTTTTGATAATAATTGAATATTAAAAGCAATTATAGCCTGAATTTTTCAAAATAATTAAATTTTGAAAATGTTCCAAATTAAAATCTTTGAAAATCTGAATTTTTCATACTTTTAATTAACAATTCTGTAGAATAAATTTAAAAAAAAAATTTGAACTTTTTTTCAAAAATTATTTCGTGTTTTTATTTTCTAATATATATTTAATTGAAGAACTTCCGAATAATTGAAATTTCTTAAAATTGAATTTTGGAGAAATTACAAATGTTCGCAGAAATTCAATTATATTCAAAAAGTTGACAATATTCTAGTCAAAATTTAAATTATCTTTATAAATAATACAATTCTTCTCTGAAATTCGAAATTTTTTTTATAAAATTCTTGGCAAAATTACAATTATTTTCAAAAATTTTCTTTAACTCAATGATTTTTAATTCCTACTATTTTGATAAAATTTTCCAAAAGAATTCAATTAATTAAAACAAATTTTAATAACATTCTACGCAAACATTCAATTATTTTCATAAATAATAAAACTCATTGAAGAATTTCAATTATTTTTAATACAATTTTAATTAAATTCATCGAGAAATCTAATTATTCTTAAAAATTTTGTTAAAATTCCTCGAAAGAATTCAATTATTTAAAAATGTTGATAAAATTCTTCATTAAATTAAAATTTTAAAGATTAATTATTATTCAATAAAAATTGAATATTAAAAACATTAGAGCTTAAATTTTTAGAAATAATTGAATTTTGAAAATGTTTTAAGAATTAAAATCTTTGCAAATCTGAATTTTTTATATTTTTAACTAACAATTATGTGTAATTAATTTTTTTTTGAGAAAGTTTAATTGCTGATTTTTTAAAAAATTATTTGAAGTTTTTATTTTTAAATTTTCTAATTTCAATTATTCGTAAATTCTTCAATATTATTTAATATTAAAATTGTTGAAATTTTATAAAATTGAATTGTAATTGGAAATTTTCAAAGAACTTTTTCAAAAATTATTAGAATTAATGCATTTATAGAAGAATTTTAGTTAAAAATAAGGAAAAAAATTTAATTTTGGAAAAGTTACAAATTATTGCAGAAATTCAATTATTTTCAAGAGTAATAATATTCTTCGCAAGAATTCAATTCTTTGCAAAAATAAAACTTTTTACAGGAATTCAATTATTTAAAAAAAAATTTAATAAAATTCTTTGTCAGATGTCAATTATTTTCAATTTTTTAAGGAAATTTCTCGATGGAATTTAATTATTTGGAAAAAGTTTTTAAAAATTTTGAGAAATTCAATTATTTAAAAAAAATTGGAATAAAATTCTTTACAAGAAAGACAATTAATATCATAAATAATAAGATTCTTCTTCGGAATTCAACTATTTTCACAAATAAAATTCTTCACAGGAATGCAACTCTTTAAAAATTTTTTAATAAAATTCGTTGCAAGAATTAAATTATTATTATAAATAACAAAACTTATCGCAGAATTTCAATTATTTTTTATACAATTTTTAAAACAATGATAAAAAATTGCATTTATTCTTAAAATTTTTTTAAAATTCGTCGAAAGAATTCAAATATATTTAAAAAATTTTTTTTATAAATTTCTTTATAAAAATTCAATTTTAAGAAATATTCAATTATTTATTTTTTTATTTAAATATAATTGAAATCTAGTAGAATTTTCTAGTAAAAATTGATTTAAAAATGAATTTCAGTTAAAATTTTAGATGATAATTGAATATTAAAAGCAATATAGCGTAAATTTTTAGAAATAATTGAATTTTTAAATTTATTTTTTAATTTTTCTTTTATTTATTTTTTTTGAAATTATTTGAATTTTTTATTTTCTAATATATATTTGATTGAAGAATTTGCGAATAATTGAATTTTCGTAAAATTGAATATTGTAAACAAATGGATTTGAAAATTGTCAAAGAACTTTTTCGAAAATTATTAAAAATTAATTTATAGATAAAATCGATTTAAAGAAGAATTTTATTTAAAAATTCTTGAAAATAATAAGTATAGTCCTTTTTAAAAAAAAAATTACTTTCATTGGTTTGAGGCCTGCAGTCAGTAATTTAGATAAATTTAAAAAAGAAAATATGTAAATAAGCATATTTGTTTTTTGAAATTTTTCAGCCTCAAATAAATGAAGTCTCGAGATCACAAGCGTCAAAGCGTCGCAATCGCAGCTACTCGGAATCGGCCGGTGCAAATGAAGCGTCACCAACACGTCGTGTGCGTTGCCTTTCAGGTGGCTCGAGTACCGTCACTCTCGAGGCCTCCACCTCAAGTTCAGGTCCATCGCAACCAAAATTACGATTCGAGACATCGTCAACCGCCTCTCAATATCGTAATCGCACTGGCTCCTTTGGTTCCGGTCGACTCACTCATTCCAAACGACGAAGCGATTCATCGAGTCAACGCGATCTCGACAAACAATTTGGTAATCGACACAAAACACAAGAAACAACTAAATTTCTTCGACAACAACAACAACAAATTACAAAATCTGATAAACCGAAAACAGAATCAGTCGTCACAGTTGCAGCGCAAAAGTGACACGTTTTTTTCAAAATTAACGGTCAACTTCAAAATTCAATTTGAAACAAATTGCCCCTCCCTCTTCTTTGTTTTCGAATTGTTGGTCATTCGTCTTCCATTGGCGAATAGAGAGAGAAAAAAATTCCTTTTAAAGTGACGTTTTTCTTTTTTTTTTTATACAAAAACGATTTCACTTTTTAATGAATTGATTACATTTAAAAAAAAAATTTGTTTTTTTTAAAAATGTTTTACCACTGTGAAATGAAAGGGCAGAAATTTTGAACCGATGCGCAAAATAAAACAAAAAATTGATTGTTAGACGGATTTTCGAAGAGTTTTTGAGAAAAGCAAAAACAAAAAAAAATAAATTATTTTCTTAGTTTTTAGAGATCATAGAGAAAACAACAACAACAAAAAAAGAGGTAAAAACTTTTTTCTTTAGGAATTAAGAGTGGTGTGTGTAGAGGAATATTTTTGATTTTTCTTCTTCTTAGAATTCTGATGAAATGAGACGAAAAACCATTTTTTTTTTGACGCACTTTCAAATAAGATAGATGTAGATTTTTTTCCTTTTCTCTTATTCTTATTACCTTATAAAGCCTAGAAGTTGTTATTATTACGACTAATTTAATTATCGTAAGTATTAGACATTGAATTACGTTTTTTAAAATTTAATAATTAAATTTCTTCCCCCCCCCCCTCCCCCCGCGATATTAAACGTCATTCGTAACATTTTTGTTTCTCCATTTTAGAAAATTTTGTTTTAAATATTTTTTTTTATATACATATATATTTTTTTTAAGCAATCGAAGGGGACCTGCTTTTTTCCTCATTGACACTTTTGGGAACGCCAGTCAATTCAAGACGTGACATTCCGTTTGTTAGTTGCAAATTTCAAAAAAAAAAATATATATATAGGAATTTGATTAGCAAACTTTCATAATTTGCTTTTCTTTATTTTTTGTCTTTGATCAGAAAAAAAAAAATTTTTTTTCTTAAATAAATTTATTAAATTAGAACGAGTGTTATTTTTTTCTATTATTTTAAAAGTGGTTTTGGTTTTTGAAAAATGCTTAAAATATTAAATCAGTTATAGGAAAAAAAAGTGAAATTTATTAGGGAAAAAAAATTAAATTTTGAAAATTAATTATCTGTAGGATAAAAAAAATCATATTTCGAATTTTTTTTTTATTTCTCACTTATCGAAGATAGAAATAATTTTTTTTTAAATAAAAAAAAACGAAGAGTTTGCCAAAACGTGTTTGGTTTTAAAGAAATAAAAATTTTGCATGAATTATTTTTTGCTTAAGAAATAAAAACAATTTCTATTTTATTATTGATATATATATATATTTGATTAAATTTAGAATTTATCCAATTATTTTTTATAATTAAATCTTTTATATATTTTTTTTTAATATTGTAATATGTAAAAAAAAAATACTTTTCTTGATTTTTTATGTCTCTAATATTTTAAAAATGGAAAAATAAATTCTTTATGCCAATAAAAAAAAAATCGAAATTATATTAAAATAGTTTATTTTAAATTTAATAATTAATTATAAAATTTAAAATTAAAATAATCAAATAATTTTAATTACTTTAATTGACTAATTTTAATTAATTTCATTAAAATTACAAAATAAATTTTTGTTTTTGGGAATTAAAATAATTTATCTACATTTTAAAAAAAAATTTTTTTTTTTAGGGAAAAAATATTTTTGAAATAAATTGTAAATTAAAAGAATATAATTTTTGTGCATAATTTTTTTTCAACGAGCATAAAATTAAAATTATTAAATTATTAAAATGAAAAACTTATTTTTTTGGTATTTTCTTAAAAATTTTGTTTATAAATAAATAAATAAATAAATAAATAAATAAATGAAATAAATAATCGACATGTAAAGTAAATGAAAAAAATCAATATTGTGATTTTGTTAGATTATTAAAAATTTAACGATATATTTTTTCTGGTCAAAGATGACTGAAGTTGAATGGAAAGAAAAAGGAAATTTTTTTTTTTTAATTTTCCGTCTTTGATCTCGCATCACTGCCACAATTCTGCGTTTGTTTGTTTTGTTTTTTTTTTTTTTGCGAATTTTTGTCGCATTCTCCAGTGATAAAAAAAAGAAAATAAATGCGCTTGCCTTCATTTGTTTCAAAGGTAGAGAAATAATGTTTGCACAATAATTGTCTGCAATTAAATTTTACCGCTGAGAAGAAATTTCCCAGAAAATCATTTTTTTTTTTTATTGAAACATTTTTTATTATTGTTGTTGTTATTAATTATTATAATTATTATTATTTCTCTTATTATTATATTATTTTATTATTATTATTATTATTTCTTAAAAGTAATAATTCTAAAAAAAATTCCGTTTTTTTTGAGTTCTTTATCTTGTTACAAATTTGTATTTTCTATATTATAAATGCCTTATTTTCTGGGATGTTTGTCGAGTAAATTTTTGGCGCCTTAAAAAAAAAAGAATAAAAAATGGAAAAAATATGAAAAAAATCTCTTTTAAAAAAAAAAGTAAATAACTTGCTCACAATTTTCAGTCTTGTATATAACGATAAAAAAAAATAGATAAATAAGAATTGTTATTAGATTTATTATAGTTTTTTAAGTGAGTGACTATTTAGTTAATAATTTTTACGATTATTTGTGCTGAACATGATTAATTAATAATTAATTAATAAGAAACTAAGGCTTAGTTTAATAAGTTTCAAAAAAAAAAAAATATTTAGTCTTTAAAATAGTAAAAAGTAAAAAAAAGAAAAAAAATAGGGAAGGGGAGAAATAGATATAAAGAGTGTGAGTGAGTGAGAAAGAGAGAGAGAATGTGTATTGTAATAAGAGAAGTAAAGCAAAAGTTCGCTCGTGGCGTATGATAAAAAAAAATATCTAATTTTATCAACTGAAAAAAAATTTCCAAAGAACCTTTAAAAAAAATTCCTCCCGTTTTCTTCAAAAAAAAAAAAAAAAAAAAAAACCAACAAAACAAGACATTTTTTCTGTTTTCCGCATTCAATAAAATATTATTTTCCGATGAAAAAAAAAAAAAATTTTTACATTTTCTTTTTTTAGGACGGGACGAATTTTATTTTTGTCGTACACAATAAAAAATCAGAAACGTAGCGAACATTGTCCGATTGTAAATTATATACATATTATTAATATTGTTACTTATTATTTTTATTATTATTATAAAAAAAAATATTTCTGCTATTATCTTAAAATAATGATCCCTAATTTTACTTTAAGGCTTTTATGCAACTATTATATATATTATATATATAGCAACAAAAAAAAAATAATAAATATAATGGGTGGGGATAAAAGTTGGCGACAACTGAAAAATGTATAAAAAAAATGTTACATATATTACATATATTATATATATATATAAAAAATACAGACATGCGTACACACATATATACTTACACACACAAACATACAAAGGCACACAATAATTTTTTTTTGAGTTTAAAAACAGAAAAGAAAAAAATACTAAATTTTACAAACCAATTTTTTTTTTTTTTGTTGAAAAAATACAATTTTTTGGGTTTTTTAAAATAGGTTTTATTTTTTTCTATTTTTTTCCCCTTCTTTTTCTGTAAAAGCTTCTTGTTTTTCTTTTTGTATTTTTAAACCTTAAATTTTAAAAATTTATACTTGTGCCTTTGATACAAAACGAATTTATTACTTTGTGTATATTTACAGAATTTTTTTTTTTGAGAAATAATTTTTACCGTTAATATTTTCAGTTTAAAAAAAAATTTATTTTAGAAAGATTTTTTTTCGCGAATCATTTTTGAATGGAGGAGGAAAGAAAAATGTTTCTTCTTACAAATGTAGGTTTTTTTGATTGTTTTTAAATGAAATGATGACAAAAGAAAAAAAAAATAATAGAAAATATATAGAATTTTGTGATTCAAAAAACAGAAATATTATTTATTGCCGAGAAAAGAGAAAAAAAAAGAAGAAATATTAATCGATGCGTTTAAATAGAGGCTTTAGAGTGAAAAAAAAGGAAATACACACATTTCTGATAGCATGCGACTAATGAGGAATATTTGCTTGATTAAAGAATTTAAAAAAAAAATAATTTTGATCAGTTTGCTAAATAAAATGAAAATATGTATTTTTTAGAGTTAAACATTACTTTTAGTGATTTTTTATTAAAAATTTATTGATGAAATTTTTGTCAAGAAAATTTTTGGTTAGCGATTTAAATATATTATATATTTTTGAGCAGATATTTTTCAGTGAAAAGCGTATTTTTTTAAACAGATGGTAAATCTGTGTAGTCAAAAATTTTATATATAAATATATCAATTTCAAGAAATGCATAATATTGGATATACTAATTAATAATAATTAATATCGATTTTGTATCGCAGGTAAAAAAAAATATCGATTACGCTAGTACGTTAATCATGTCATCCATGTAAATAGAGTAAAAGAGAAAAAAAAATAGAAAAAAGGTAAAAAAAATTAAACCAATATTTACAGTCAGCATACAATAAGTTCGAGTTTAAATAATAGAAAAAAAAATGTGAAAAAGATTTTCGAATCGTATACAGTGATTTCATAATGTGATGATAAACGAATGGTGTACGTGATGTTTGAATCTATAATGTATGCCTGGAAATTGTAACGTTTGTGGATATAAAATAATAAAAACCAAAAAAAACCGCAAGAGGAAACTTTTTATTTTTTTCACACACATATTTTCATTTATTTAATCCTTTTATAAGTAAATCCTATCCTTTGAAAAATTTTTTTAAAAAAAATTTTTCTTTTATTTGTGTAACGCTGGGTTACGCCAAACAAGAAGGGTCGATAAGGCCTGTTTTCGGACCTCTTGAAATTTTCATTTAAATGCTTGAAATACATTTTCCATCAAAGAAAAATGATAATTTTAAAGATTGAAGGATACATGAGGGTGTTTGGAGCATATTAACCAAAATTTTACAAAATTCAAAAGGGCGGATCCAATATGGCGGACAAACTTTGAAAATCACTTGAATTTATTTGAAACTTGTTACTCGAGGGGTTTTATGGTCGCTGATTACGAATTTGGCATCAGATTTTAGAAATTAATTAAATTTAAAAATTGAAATGAGTTTCATGCAAATCTGCGAATAATTTTTAACTTTTGTCCGACATATTGGATCCGCCATTTTAAATTTTGAAGAATTCATGCCAGATTCGTAATCAGCGACCACAAAAACCCCCCGAGTAACAGTTTTTAAGCCAATTAATTCATATTTTAAAAAAGTCGTCCGCCATTTTGAATTTTGGAAAATTAACATCAAATTCGTAATTACCGACTCCAAAAACCCCCCAAGTAACGGTTTGCAAGCCAATTTATATTTTTAAAAAACCCGTCCGCCATTTTGAATTTTGGAAAACTAATATCAGATTCGTAATCAGCGACCCCAAAAACCCCCGAGTAACGGTTTTCAAGCCAATTAATTTATATTTGAAAAAAGTCGTCCACCATTTTTGATTCGCCATTTTGAATTTTGAAAAACTAACATCAGATTCGTAATCATTGAACCCAAAAACCCCCGAGTAACGGTTTTCAAGCCAATCAAAATTCTTAATTGAAAATTCGTTTTACCCTTATTTTTGACCCATTTTGTATACAAAACCCTTATTATTTAGGGGTTAATATGCTCCAAACAACCTCAATTAACCTTCAATCACCAAAATTATCATTTTTCTTTGGTGGGAAATGTATTTCAAGCATTTAAATGAAAATTTCAAGAGTGTCGGAAAGGGGCGCATGATTATTCCCCAAATGTCATTTTACCGAACTGCACTTTTGCGAATATTCATTTTTGCGAAAAGCCAATTTTGCGAAATGTCACTTTTGTGAATTGTCATTTTTTCGAAAAGCTATTTTTGCGAATTGTCATTTTTGCGAATCGCCATTTTTACGAATTGTCAATTTTCCGAAAAGTCATTTTTGCGAATCGTAATTTTTACGAATTGTCAATTTTCCGA